GGGTGGGTGGGTGGGTGGGTGGGGCTTGCACTGTTCTTTTCCAGCATTGAGGTAGCTGCAGCTGCAGGTCATGCCAAACTCAGTGGAAGACCAGGAGATGGAGGTGTTCAGGATCTTCTACCGGGATATGCCGAAAAACGACAGCGAGAAGGTGCATTGGGGACGGAGCGGGAGGCCAAGTCAAGCAAGCAGCCCGGAGGCAAAGGCAAAGGGGGACACAAGCCTCAGACACGATTCGGGCGGGGGAATGCGCAGCCATCGAAACAAAAGGAGCAGGAGTCGGATCAGTCAGATCGTGTATCCCCGCTCCTCAAGGCACTGGCTCTGCTAGCATTGCGTCACGAGGATGCATGCATTGTGTCTGATGAACCTCGACAAAGGGTTCCTTCTGCACCAGCGCACCAAAGCGCCCGAATCGTTGTTGGATCAGATGCATCTTCAAAGCAAGCTTTGGCGCAAATCCAAGGACGAGGGGAAGGTCAGCTCGCCACTGCGGGTCATTCTGCTAAAGTGCTTTCAGTGCTTTCTCACCGAGCTTCATGCGAGACTGGAAAAGGCCATGAACACGGAGTCGGCGCTCGCAGGCCTGCTCAAGCTGCAGCGGGTTCAGAAGTCGGAAATGGGAGTGTTGCAGTGGAACTACTTTCGCTACGATGCCCAGACCAAGACGGAACAGCTCAACAAGGATTCGATGCCCGTCGATGCGGAGGACTTGTTGGAGCAGCTTCAGAAAGCCATTCGGCTCCTCAGCGCGGACACCCTCCACCGCTTTCATGCCACCAGACCATTGGCAGAGAATTACGAGTCGGAGAGCATCAGCTTCTTGATTCAGACTTCGCTTCGCGGGAAGTTTCTTGATCAGCACCTCCGCGTACTATCCCGTTGTGCAGTCGTGTTCTTGATGGGAGCGAAGATCAGACCAGAAAAGATTCACGGATCCGCATTGGCACCGAGAATTGCGGAGATGCTGCGTTGAAAACGCGGCGCTCGGAAGTTCATACTACTATGTGTTATGGTCTTCGGTCTGCGCGTGCACTTATTTTGAGTAACACACACATACACACAACTTTTGCTATCAGAACAGCTTTATGCACTGTCTCATCTGGTCAGTTCTGATCGTTCGGGCACGCGATGCCCCTGACAGGCCGTCTTCTCGGTGGGATCGTTGTTTTTTGCAACAAGCTTCTGGAACTGCAACAGCCTACCAGGCTCATGGACCACCCTGAGTGGACTGATCTCTTAGCTACCTGGCCCCAGTCTTGGAGACAATACGACATCGCCGAGTTTGCTACGCATGTTCTCTTTCGCCTTAGGCCGCCGTGCATGCAAGGGTCTTGGCAAGCACACACCTCAACAGGTCTTGTGCAAGATGTTGGCACTGCTGGTCATGACGTTTGGGCTTGTGATGTTTTTCTTAGGGCCTCGGTTATCTGTGAGAATTCTTATTTGTGCTGGTTTGTTCGCGAATAGCATCCACTTCGCCACGTAGTGCTTCACTCTTCTTTTTGCCACACACGCTCTGCTGACAGAGCTTGCTTAGCCATGAGTGGCGAAGCTCTCACGAGCCTGCTTTGTAGTTCGCTACGGGGTTCGGCATGTCGCAACCTTTTGAGCTGCAACTTTTGTAGTTGTTGTAGCTAGTGTTGTGAATCCTGGAAGGGTTGCTACCTTGAGTAGCCGGATTACCAATACCTGCACAAACGGACCGCTGGCAGTGACTCACTGTGCGTTGCAAAGCAAAAAGGCCTGGGCCTCCACGAGCTGCTGGTGCCGCCGGCGCATCAACGGGTTCAAATTGTAGGACGGGTACATCTTGTGGAACTGGCGCAGCATTTGCGATTCGTTGCGCTGCTCCAGGGGCATCATCGTTCTTTACAGTTCGTGCGTGTGTCGTGCGAGGAGCTCCATGTAGCGGTCCTGCCGCTGCATGTACCGGAGGGCTCGCTCCTGGGCGGGCGTCATCCTCACAGGCTCCACTGGCGGGGCAGGGGGCTCAGGCTCCTCGACCGGGACGGTTTTCGGGGGCTTCGGTTTGTTCTTCGAGCCTGGGGGTCTTCCTCTTCTCTTGGGCGTGGGCTCCGGCGTGGTCCACCCCCAGATCCTCAGCCATCTAACTGACAAGTCTTCGCTACGCTTTCGGAAATATCGAAGCACAACAGCACTCTGCGAAGACCTCCGAATCGGAAAGCATCGGAAGGCACTGCTTAAAACTCCCGACCCTACTATTTAAACCTTCGATCACACACCCGAGGCCTGCGGTTGGTCTCACATGTCCAGCTAGGCACCCTGGCATGCAGAGTTGCTGCGGGGTGCTGTTGCAATTCCATGGCTCTCTGTTTGCAACTCTTGCTGCCGGCACTTTGTCTCCAGCGGCGCTGCCCGATCTTGGTCCCTAGCCTAGCCTTCTTCGCAAACTGGGACTCCGGAAACAGTCGGTCGCCGGCGGCTACTGTCGGGCTTCACTTCGGCACCATTATCGGACAGGTGACAGCCACCGTCCGTCCAGTAGGTCCAGTGCTTGCAGCCGTTCACCCTCTTGCAACGCTTTCGGCAATCCTCCAACGTGTTCTCACTGGTCCGTCCCTGTCCGCTCATGTCGAGGATTCTCCTTCTGCGGTGACCCCAGGGGTATTCCCACCTCGTCCGTCCAACTGCGCAGCATGTAGGGGGGCCAGTCTTCGCGTTGTTCTTTTTCTCAGTGTGGGAATCCCAATCCTGAAGGTGGCAACCTCCGTCCTTCCAGTAGGAATAATGCTTGCAACCCTTCACACTGTTGCAACGCTCTCGGCAATACTCGGCCTTCTCCTCACTTGTCCGGGCCTGCCCAGGCATGTCGTAGTGCCAGCGGCGGCGCCGGCGGTGATTCTGGACGTACACCTTGCTGCCAGTGGCACACGGGTCATCCAAGGCAGCACCATTGTCGCCGTTCAGGAAGTTGATCTCCTTGCAAAACAATGTGAAGGATACCGCCACACTGCCCCCACAACCGAAAATTCCAATCTTCGGGGGCCCGCCGCAAAGTGAATGATGGATGGCGCCGGTGGCTGCACTCATGCCAAGCCCCAGTGAAACGCTCATTTTGGCTTTCCCCGGGCCAAGAGTCAATGTACCCCCGACGGATACACCTGCTCGGACACCGACAAAGCTTGCAAGTTGAGGAACATAGCCAATGGTGAGGCCGACAGACGTCTTCAAGTCGACAGTCGGCTCCTTGACAGGATTGGGTCGAGAATAGCAACCCAACATGTTCACTTCACCAAGAACTTCGTTGAAACAAATCTTCCAAACGGCTGCAAGCCACATACCCAATGCTTAAACAACTGGGCGGCACTTGCTTGACGTTTGATTATCGAAAACTACCTACACCCTTGGAGAAGGCCCGAAAGTCATGCGCAAATTGCGACTCTGTGAATGTGGCGTCTTCCACCTTGCAACGTTTCAAACTACACGAATATAATGGACACCCCCATAGTTAGCGGTGATCCAATTTCGCTCGGCACTAGAACCCTTTGAACTTCTGGGCTAACTCAGGAGCGCTTCAGTTTTCCGGTCGGAACCTCTTCGTCTGAACATGTTTAGCCCATTGCTCCGCAGGTGTTTGAGATACAAGCACCATTGAAATGCCAACCTCGAGAACATGATTAAATGAATGAAATGCCTTTGCTGAGCCCATCTCCGCTCCTTGCTGCTCAAGAGAGTCTTCAGGCTCGCGGTGGAGCCCGTGATCAGCTTGAAACCTATGATCACGCCGAACTGCGCCTCGTTAGTCGGGAACTTCTTGCCGTAGGATCCGGTGGCCGTAGCTGCCCAACTGAAGCACCACCAGCCGCTCTTTTTGATGTTCTTGCCGTTGTTATTCTCCTCGAAAGGATCGCAACAACCCTGGTACTCTAGTAAGACAGGAAGCAGCGGCTTGAAACTCTGTACGGTCGGCTGGAGATGCTTTACAAAAGAAACCACCTGTCCCTGCATTTCAACAACGCGTTCACACGAAAGATGCTGCACTACCCGAAACGAAGGCGAGTCTTGTCCGTAAACAACTGGGATCATGTAGGAACTTACGCTGACAATCAATAAATCAAGTAACTTACTCCGTCGGTAGAATTAAGCAGCTAGCCTTGCGACCATCTCTGGGATGTAAATGCTGGGAACTAGAATAGAATTGATTAGCGAGATCTTTGCGCTATGTTTGGGAGAATTTAGAGAGAAGTTTGGGAGAGATGTAGCAAACTATGCGAGAAATTAGCAAGCAATTAGCAAGCAAATAGCAAGCAAACAGCAAGCAAATAGCAAGCAATTAGCGAGCAATTAGCGAGCAATTAGCGAGAAATTTGCGAGTGATTTGACAGCTTTGAAATAGCTTTGAGAGGTTAGCTGTCAGAGTAAGTGAGTTATGAAGGTTTTAATATGACATGCAGAGATCGGATACGCTTCCTGGCTACAGCGGCTTTCCTAAACCCGAAGTACAGGCTTTCAGACTTGCTGCATCCCACAGACGTCAGGACATGGGATGGGGGGGGGAAGGAAAGGCACCAGCGCAACCGGCCGGTTTCGAAAGGGTGGGGTCGGTCTCGCAAACTTCTCGCTAATTCCTTAGATTTCCTATTGAATTAGCGAGAAACTAGCGAGAAGTTAACGAAAAATTAGCGAGAAATTAGGGAGAAAT